GGCGGCACGGTGCCCGCGCGTGCCGGCAGCGGGGGCGGGTTCTGAGGGGGTCGCGGGGCCGCGTCACTTGTGCACACCGGGGTGCGTGGCGGCATCGGAAGAGGCAGAGGTTTCTGCGAAGGCCCGCGGCCCGTCATCCGCGCTGCTGCTGCTGCTGAAGAGGTACGGCCAGCTGCTGCACCACCGCTGCCACCGCTGTCGCTGAAGGCGCTGCTGCTGTTGCCCAATCTTGAGGTGGTGCAGCCACCTGCATGCGACCGCAACATGAGCTGCTGCTGCTGCTGCTGCTGCTGCTGCTGCTGCTGCTGCTGCGACGGCTGCTGCTGCTGCTGCTGCTGCTGCTGCGACGGCTGCTGCTGCTGCTGCGGCTGCTGCTGCGGCTGCGGCTGCTGCGGCGGCTGCGGCTGCTGCGGCTGCTGCGGTCGCTGCGGCGGCTGCTGCGGCTGCGGTCGCTGCGGCCGCTGCTGCGACGGCTGCTGCTGCTGCTGCGGCTCCTGCGGCTGTGGCTGCAGAGGTCGCGGCGCCTGCTGCGACGTGAGAGGCACCGACTGCGTCTGAGCTGTCACTAGGCGGCTGCCGCTGATGCCGGGTTCCTGCTCGGACGCACTGACAGCTGCTGCGATCCCGGCAGCGTGCCCAGGGGACACATCTGACGGGAGGTTGAGGGAGGGCCCAGCAGTGGGCGGCGCGGTGTGCTGCAGGAGTCCGCTGTAGCTGCTGCTGGCGCTGCCGTCTGCGGCGCTGGATCCGCAGCCACTGGTTATAATGGTGGCGCCGCCGGAGCTGCTGTGCTCACTGTCGCGGGTGCTGCTGCTGGCCCCACTTGCCGTGGTTGCGTCGCGCGGCGCGCAGCCTGTGCTGATCGCGGGTTCGTGAGGGCCCTGGTGGCCGCCCGCTGCACTGGAGGCCTCTGCGCTTCGCGTTACTCTGGGCGGAAACGGTATGATTGGCAGCTCTGAGAGCTTGTACTGCGGCATTATGTTGGCGGTGACATTTGCGCATTGTGAGGATCAGAAGGCCGCTAGTATGATTGCCATTCAAACTGGACAGCACAGGCCTGGCGCACATGTTGCGTAGGGTTGGGCCCGTGAAGTCACGGTGTGCGCCAGTGCACCAAGGGGCACCTGTCAAAGTGGTCCTGCAGACTGCTCAATCGCCACAGCGCCTCAAACACGTCAGTCTATCACGCAACTCAAGGGGCCGCTGCGGCCGTGCAAGGCCTGCACGCCGCCGCTGCCGCGGGGCTGCTGCAGCTTGAGCGACCGTGCCCCACCTGCGGCATGCGTGTGTTTTTCGTGCGCCGGGCGAGGATGCAGCCCCTGTTCTCGCCAGGCTTCGGCGAGGCGGTCCACGACGAGAGGTGGTAGTGCTGTGCCACCTTGTGGATGAAATTCCGCTGATGGTGGCAGGGTTGAGAGCGGAAATGGAAGTCAAACGACATGTGAGGCTGCAGGTGATTGCCGACATGCGAAGCCGTGATGCTCGCGCTCCATGCGACACCGGTGCACTGGTGCACACGCACGCTTGTGTTGGTGGCACTGCCTGGGTCGCTCACGCGCATCTCGGAGGTTTCCATGGGGAACTTGAGAATCTCCTCGGTGCTGCCCAAAAACGCCTCCACCAGGGCCACGTGCTTCAGCACTGAAGTGTGCGAGTGTATGTATGCATGTGTATCAATGAAGCACCACAGCCAACGCCATGCTGGGTGGGCGGCAGTGAAGGTCTCCCAACAGCAAGGGCCACCAGCAGCGACCGGGTGCCAGATCACCCGGTGACGCGCGCAGGGGGATCGAGGGATCTCACCGTCGTCCAGGTACCAGCGATTCCGCATGGCGCGATGCAGGTCGACGTGTATTGTTGCGAGCGACTCGGGGCTGCAGCGCGCGAGAGTGTCGATCCATGTAGCAGCGTATGCTGCTCGGGAACGTTCGCCCAACACGCCCAGGTGGGGCACCATGCACCGCTCGTCACTGCTGGACGCGCTCATGCTGTTCAGCACACAGATGTCGACGGCCGCACGAAGCCGGAGGTGGCTGGGAAGCTGGTCCTCATCTTATCCCCTCAGCAGTCGCAGAAGCACAATGCTGCACTATACCACATAGTCGTGAGGAACTGGTTCTAGGCCGCGCCAACGGCCGGTGGTGGCAGCAGCACGACAACTCCAGTAAACTCGAGACACCGCGCAAGTCGCCCACACGGCCAACAGCCATGCATTCCAACACCGTGGGGTTGAACTCGCGTGGTGCAAGAAACAAACTCGTGTAAGTCGGACGTGTGATCGGCCACCGCCACCTTTCTCTACCACCTTGCTTGTCGGGGTAGCGTTGGTGGGGCGATTATTCCAAGCTGGTGATGATCCTCATGGGCACGTAGCGGCAGGCTCACGTGATACCGTTTGTTTTGGTGCGGGCAGCCACATGCTTTGTGCACACCACTGCCTGCGACATTCGCCGCGAGGGTGTCAGTGCAAATGGAGGTGAGCTCCTTCAGGCACCACAATGTAACCCAGTAACGGCGTTTGTGGACTTTGGTGGATCATGTTATCGCAGCACGGTTGCAGGTCACGCCCCCCCAATTCTGCACGCAGCTGTTGCATACCGGTAGTAGTGCTTTCCCCTGGGAGTCAAGGGGACTGTTGAGCGACGCACGGGCCGACAGTCACACAATGCTGGAGGTGGTGGGGAAGCTGGTCCACACCTGTTTCCCGCGGCCAGGGTCGGTTTGCTGGACCCTGGCCGCGGCAGTCTAGAAGGGTGCCGTCGTGCCTGCACTGACCAGTGGTGCAAATCAGCAGGAATCGCTCAGCAGTGCGTTCAATCCGGGCCGCAAGCACGCTTATCAAAGCAAAACCTGGACGCAACACTGTGCTGCACCTGACGGTTGTAGCGGCAGTTGCGCATGTCGCATCAACACCCGCAACGATCATGATGGGTGACGCTCCAGGCTGGAAATTGTGCGTGTTTCATTTGCCAGCAGCGACGAGGAAGGTTGGGGGAGCACGGCGCGCCAGCCTGCCTGCAGCTGCCAATGCGCAGGCTCCTCTCACCCCCCCTCACACTCCCCTCCTCTCACCTCCACGCGCCACCCTAACCCCCTTCCACTCCGTTTAGCAGCGGGCGGGTCGGTGCAGGTGCGTCGAGTCATGGAGGCGTGGTGTCCCCAGTCGCAGCCGTATCCGCCTCAGCAGCAGCACGCATAGACCCGCCCAGGCTGCTGCGGCGCCGCAGCCACGCCTGTCCATGCCGCCGTTTCTGTATACGCGCCTCTGGCGCCTGCTGCTCCCGGGAGCCGCCGACGATCTGCTGCAGCTGAGCCTGCTGCTCCTGAATGAGCGCCACCAGGCCCTGTCGCAATGCCGTATCTGACAGCGAGTTATTAGTCGTGGCTTGCACCTGCTACTGTACTTGAAGTTCGCCTGCTGGGAGTACGCGTACTGCAGCTGGCTGAGCAGGTCCGGCTGGGTCAGGCCCATGCACAGGCGGGCCCATGTGCGGGCAGCCGCTCTGATGAGCGCGACGCCGATGGCAGTGATGCTATGGCATGAGTAATTTATTTATCTATCTATCGCCGGCATGACCGCTTGGCTGACGTTGTGCAGCCGCACCACCATCGTGTGCAGCATCTCAAAACAGGCGGGCCCTAATCAGGCACCAGCAGCTGCAGGGCTGACGAGCATTCACCTAGGCGGAAAGCTGTCAGGGTCGCCCTCGTCTAAGGCTCCTAGCCTGCCCACTGGGCAGGCGGCCGCAGCCATCTCAGCGGTGAACCGCCGCAGCGGAACCCTGGTCTGCAGTAAGCTGGGCTGTTCCTGTAGCAGACGCAACTGGCACGATTGGTCAAAAGCTGGATCCTGCCGCTGGAGCAGTGGCCCGCCGCGCAGGCCGCCGTCGCGGGCGACGGCGGCGGCTTGGGCGCGGCGGGGGCCACGCGGGCGCGGCAGGCGCCGCAGGCGCTGCCGCGGGCGGACGGCAACGGCGCGGAGCCGCCGATCCCGCCGGCGCTGCTGGCGCGCGACGCTGCTGCAGAAGCTGCAACAGCACCACCACCTGGCAGGGCTGCAATATTCTCTCCTGCATTTGACCTCTATGCACCCAGAACTATCATGGACGCCCGCCTGCGGCTGCCATGCAGCAGAGCGCCGCCGCGCGCTCGGCGGCGCCTTTGACGACGCCAACGTGCGTCCGCACGGCGACAGCGGGGGGCGGGCCGCGGTGCCGGGGCTATCACAGACACTTTTGAAGCATGGCAGTGTAGTGTAGTGAAATTGTTCCGAATCACCTGGGAGTTGTAGCTTCCCGTCCCCGTCTCACCAGGGGCAGTGGCAAGCGTGCAGCAAGCAGCAGAATGATCAAAGCGAGTGGGGAATCCCTGCCCATAATTGTTGTGAAACTCGTACCATCTGCATATAAGATCTACCGTAGTTGTCAAGGTCAGCGGCCAATGGACGATGCTGGCAACATCACAACACTCTGACATGGACGGACAGCCGGATGACCAAGACCAGCAGCAAGAGCATGCAAGTACAAATACCGGTAACAGGGCTTGCACAGCATCACGCTCTCAGCGGTGTTTCGGTCGCGGCTATACAGTCTTACCATTGTTTTGTGTACTTTTCACAACCAACCGCCCTTGGTTGCGAGTGATCTGGATCAATCGGTCAGCTCTGGGAACTCAGGATGCACGCTAGTAGATATCGTATATCTGTTCTGGTAAGGGCACGCATGTGGCAACAGGCTAGTTCGCTCGCCCGCCGGAGACGAACGCTGCTTCCTAGCTCAAGCTGCTTTGCGCTCCAAGCGACAGCAGCACTGCTGGTGCTGCTGCTGGCGCCGCACGCCACTGCGCTGCACGAGGGCGACTTCGTGCACACGTCACGGAGATCCCAGTACCAGCAGGTGTGGGGTCTTGGCTCGCACCCTGTAGTGCGACAGTCGTGTGCAGCACATCGCACTGGTCCGCGCGGGGCGCATGGCAAGAAGCGGCATGGCATGGCGCAGGCGTGGCATGGGGCAGCACGCCATCTCATGCCAACCCATCTGTTCCAGATGCGGACCAACTGGCGGGATTTGACGGAGCACCACTGTCCCCGCTTTGGCCGCGAGCGTACGGTGAGATGCGGGTGTGGGACCACTGCTCCTGGCGCTGCCCAGCAGCACCCGGTTCAACACCGGCCTTGCTGCGCGCAGCAGCACGACGAACGTGGCAGGTGCAACGCGGTGCTATAGTGCCAACCAGCACACCCATTTTGCTCCTGTGCAGGTGGCGATGCCCATACTGGAGCCCAAGGGGGTCAAGGGGGAGGTCAAAGACTATCGGATCCAGCTGTCGTTCGACGGTGCGGCCAGGCTGTCGAGAGGAGCAACAGCTGCGAGGCCGTCGCGGCGCGCTCGCGCACTTTGGCAGCAGCCCTGGCTCTGTTGGGCACAGATGGCAGGGGGCGGTGGATTTTTGTCAGCCTTTGCAGCTAATCCAGCTGCACAAGGACGAGGCCCTCTACCACCCGGCCCCCTCTCTCCGTTTTCTTCGGCCCTGCACTCTCCAAGAGGTCCTCTGCCCCTCCCACGTCACCAGGTGACCGCCTGGTGACGCCTTGGATCCAGGTCATGGGCGGCAAGGTGATGGGCATGCCACTGGTCATCGTGCAGCTGCGGCGCGTTGGGGGGGAGCTGAGGGGTGTGCGCGCAGAGGTGAGCGCGCGGGTGCGCGTGTAGGCTGGGGGCGCAGGGGGGCCGGGCGCCTGTCGTGGGGACGCAGGGAAATCAGGCCTGCGGGGCGGGCAAGGCGGTCAGCGGTGGCGGCCGTGTGCGTGCAGGGAGTGGCACGAGTTCCTGCTCGCCTGCTCACTGGTGCTACCACGCCCCTGCTGCGCACACGCGCGGCTTGCACAACCCTTACCATCATGCATATGCACAAATGCAGGGACAACAACACGCATGCAAGTACGTAAGGGCAGGCATCAGCACCCCCTTTACCCAAACACACACACACACACATACACATACACATACACACATCCATGCGTGCAGGTCATCCCCCTGCCCGACGAGTTCCTGCTGTCCCACAGCGACATGTACGATGACTACGCAAACGCCACCCACTGGCCCAAGCACGTACTGCTGCACTACGACTGGCGCTCCAGCGCTGACGTGCAGTTTGACAACGGCCTCTACGTGATGCTCGTGACGGGTGGGGGGGCGTGCACTGGGCGGGCTGTGAGGGAGGCCTTGCACTGGGCGGGCTGTGGGGGGGGGAATGCCGTCGGGGCGCACGGCGCGGGAGGTGTTTGAATTTGAATGGGGGAGGGGATCATGGGTCACAGCAATGGGGCCGGGCTCGTCCTCACCCACGGCCTGGGAGCTGTTGCTTTGAGTGGTCTGGCTCGTGAATTGTGTGAATCCGAAGGGCTCCGCAGGTTGGCTAGCGTTGCTGTGATTGCTGTGATTGCTGCGATTGGCTGCAGGCAGAGAGCGACCTGGACGCACGCTCCACGCCCAGCGCGCCTTACTTCAACACCCCTCCCCCAACCGAACCCGAATCCACAGGCCTGCTGGTGGCTCTGCTGGTGAGCGTCAACAACCTGGCCGGCCTGAAGGGGAAGCTGCAGGCCTTCCTGCGGGATGTGGTCGGGGACAGCGACCCCCTGGACCCACTGCTGCCCCCAAGCCTCGCCGGCCCGCCGTCGCGTGGCTATGGGGCTGCCGTGGGCAACGGGGCCTACGCAGCGGGCGGCGGCGGCTTCGTCGGCGGGGGCGGCTATGGCGGTAGCGGCGCT